GTGTGTGTGTGTGTGTGTGTGTGTGTGTGTGTGTGTGTGTGTGTGTGTGTGTGTGTGTGTGTGTGTGTTCGCGCGCGCTGTGTTCTCCTAAGGTCATCAGGGTCCAATCAGGGGAGCTCCACCATTGTGGCCTTGACTTACCCATACTGTCTCAGAGCCAGGATCCCATTGCACACCTGGAGCTTGGGGAGACTCTGGGGTCACAGAAGCTGCAGTTCCTGCATCACACTCCATCAAGGCTTCAGTGCCCATAGCTCTTGATTTCTGGACCTTAGTGTTTGCCTCCCCCTGTAGGGAGACACCCCAGCCCCGCCCAATAGTCCTGGGACGGGTGCCAGGTGGACCCGGGACTCGCCCATAAGGGCATGGTGAAGGAAAGCTGGGATGACATAGGGAGCTTCTTAAGGGCTGCACGTGGAGAACCTGGCCCCTTCTTTCTGGCCACGCTTGCTGGGTTCCTGTGACCTCGCTCTGGCCTGCGTTTTGCCCTGGTGCTTTCTTGAATAAAGAAATCTTACCATCACGGAATAATTCATTCTTCAGCACACGCTGCAACCCTTGATCTTCATCCCCCCTTGTTCCTGTCTCTTCTGGGTTCCTGCCAGCTGACAGTAGGACCTGAGTCCTGATCAGACTCGCAGGTTCGAGCTTTGGCATTTTCTGAGTCAGGCTCCATCCGTCTTCGTTGAGAGGTTCGTAGCCGCTCATGGTCTGAACCAGGGTTCATTCCTGCAGCCTCAGCCTGAGTCCCACGAGACACACTGATGCTCTCTGATCACCCTTGCTTACTCTCAGTACCCAGCCCCCCTTGAAGCCACTGTAGCTTTCCCACAGCACAGGCCCACGTGGCTCTCTCATCTCCTCTTCTGTGATTCCCCCTTGTCTCCTCTTCCAGCCATGGGCCACCATGGTTCACAGTCCTGGACCACTTTTAGTTTTTTTTGGTTTGGGGTTTGTTTTTGTTTTTGTTTTTGTTTGTTTGTTTGTTTGTTTGTTTTTGAAGGATGAAATTCTGTGATCAATGGTGTGTGAGAGTTTTGGGGACCAGCACTTACGCTTCGTGTTCCCCATAAATGAAAATCACAGCAAGCCCCTCCCAGTCCTGCTGCCACAGGGAGCCTCCATCTTAACCCCTTTCTGCCTACTGCAGATTGGAGGTTGCCTAATTCTGTATTTCCTGGAGATGAACATAATTGGCTTAGCTTTAATTTTGTTTTGTTAGGGGTTTGTTGCTGCTGTTACTGCTTTGGTTTTACTTTCTAGAAATTTTTTATTGCCTTCATATATGTGTGTGACCACGTGTTTGCTTAGTGCTGATGGAGACTCAAGAGGGCACTGGATCTCCCAGAATTGTATTTACAGACAACTGTGACTGCCATGGGTGCTGTCTGGGACTCAAACCTGGATCCTCTGGAAGAGCAGTCAGTGCTCTTAACAACTGGGCCACCTCTCCAGCCCCCAGCTTTACTCTTTGAGCCATGACACATTCCCTGGCACTCAGGGGGTCGCCCCATGAGCAGGTCTCTCTGAGCTTTGTTCCCATGGAGAGGGGCGTGGACAGCTTAGCAGAAGCAGTCTCAGGACAGCTGCACGGTGGACAGCACCGAGGCGTCTCCTCTGTGTCCTTGGCCTCTCTGCCGAGGATGCTTTTCTAAATGCATTGCCGTGTTAGGGCAGCAAGCTTGGTGTCACTTTGAGCTCGCACTGAGTGCCCAGCTCCCATACCAAGAAAAGAACGAGAGTTGTAAAACCAGAGCTCCTACTTGGCCTCAAGGAAACCTGCATAATAATAATTAATAATAATAATGATGATGATGATGTCACTCCTGTAGAATACCCATCGTGTCCTCATGGTGATTTTTTTTTTTTTTTTTTTTTTTTTTGCATCGTGTTGTCCTCATGGCTCACACTTTGAAGTAAAACGTTTTAGAGGTGAGGAAGTTGAAATTCAGAGAGGTTGTGTAATTTGGCCAAGGTCACACAGTGACATGGTGTCTTAGTTATCGTTTTATTGCTCTTGAAGAGACAACATGACCAAGGCAACTTTTATGAAAGAAACCAATTAATTGGGGGGTTGTTTATAGTTTTAGAGGGTTAGGCCATAATCGTTGTAGCAGGAAGCAGGCAGGTAAGGCACTGGGATAATGACTGAGAGCTTTACATCCTCATCCCCAGGCAGCAGGCAGAGAAAGAGACAGTGAGCCTAGTGTGGGGTTTTGAAACTGCAAAGCCCATCCCCAGTCACACACCTCCTCCAGCAAGGCCACACCTCCTTAGCCTTTTAAACAGTTCCAGTAACTGGGGACCAAGCATTCAAACATATGAGCCAGTGGGGGCTGTCGTCATCCAAACCGCCACACACGGTACGTGGGTGAGCTGGAGTGTTGGAGGGTGTCACCTTGCTCATGCCTGGTTACAAGGACGGCTCTACAGGCATTGGTACTTTTCAGAGTTGTCATAGAGGGCAGCTGTTAGAGAAATGGGAGGAACTGACCTACACACTCACCAGCGTATTAAGTGGGAAAGTCAGTTTTAGACCTATACCGTGTGACATGTTCGTCAGTCCGTGTATGTGTCACCAGGGTTTAACGGGGTGCCCTGATGGTGGGTAGGCACCAGAAGAAACCTCTTGGCTGCGTGAGCCATATAAAATGAGGGGGAATAAATACAGCTACTGAATTGATTGGACTGTCCCTTCAAAACTAAGTTTGTACTTCTAATAAATTTCAATAACATGGCAAATGCTTTTTGTTAAAATAGCATATTTAAAGAGTTATAGGAAAATCTAGAAGTACATACATTAAAATATTTAAATGACTAAATTTGGTGGTCCACTGATATCTAGGAAAGTTTTCTCTTTCTTTGTAAATCCTGGATTGATAAGGTCACCTTGTAATGACTTCAGTGGAAGCCCAGAGCTGTAAGTTGTCATATAGATGTTTTCCTGGCTTCCAACCTTATCCTTGCCTGAGCTAGACTTGGACCAGCTTTGGGCTTGCTCATCCCCAGTGCTCATGGTAGGTCAGTGCTTTTTTGTTGGTTTGTTTTTTGTTGGTTTGTTTGTTTGTTTGTTTGTTTGTTTGTTTGTTTTTGTTTTGAGATAGGATTCCTCTGTGTAGCCCTGGCTGTCCTGGAACTAGCTCCGTAGACCAGGCCAGCCTCTGCCTCCCAAGTGCTGTGATTAAAGGCATGTGCCACTACTGCCCGGCCAGGTCGGTGCTCTTGCTGGTGTTTGGCCTTTTTCCCATGACTGTGATGCCTTCCACCTTTATTTCGTCTTCGCCGTGACCGCCTCTTATCCTTTCCCACAGTGGCACTAAGGAAGACAGAAACCAGCCATCATCTCTCCCTCGACAAAGCCAACAACCCACCTGAAGTTTTTCAGAGATCATCACAGTTGGCAGAGTTACCCCAAAAGCCGCCGCCCGGAGACCTGCCCCCAAAGCCCACGGAACTGGCCCCTAAGCCCCAAATAGGAGACTTGCCGCCTAAGCCTGGAGAACTGCCCCCCAAGCCCCAGCTAGGTGACCTTCCTCCTAAGCCCCAGCTTTCAGACTTACCTCCCAAACCACAGGTGAAGGACCTGCCCCCCAAGCCACAGCTGGGAGACCTGCTGGCAAAGTCCCAGGCCAGTGAAGTCTCATCCAAGGTGCAGCCACCCTCAGAGGTCACACAGAAGTCACACGCTGGGGATCTCTCCCTCAATGTGCAGGCCAGAGATGCCATCCAGAAGCAAGCATCTGAGGACTCCAATGACCTCACTCCCACGCTGCCGGAGACGCCCGTACCACTGCCGAGGAAAATCAACACGGTGGGTGGGAATCGGGCTCTTTTGGCAAGGCCATCGCACTTTTCCTTTCATGGTGCTGGGAACAGGACCTAGAGATGCGTGTCTGCTCTCCACTCTGCCACTAAGCCTCATCCTCAGACTCTGGCAGTTCCAGAAGGTGGCGGGAGGATGTATGCTCCACCTCAGTAAGAACAGTGTCCCATATGCTCTCTCCCCCCCATCGAAGCGTCTGTGGTGGTTTGGAGCCCGGTGGCTGCAAACACTGCCTTTGGATCCCTGCCGGCATGCCGTAGGACCCGGCTTCAATGCCCAACGCAGCTGCCTGGCTAGCAGTCATTCTCTGAACCTGGTTCCTCGGGTACAAGAGGGGCTTGTATGGTGTCAGGGGCAGCAGTGGCCAGCGAGCAGAACATAGTGACCACATAACGAGCACTCAGCCATGGTGTCTCTGACTCAGAAGCCATGAGGGTTGAACTCCACCCACCCCTAGGATCAGTCTCTGTCCCTTCCCCGCTATATCTTCCCACCAGAACCAGAGAGAAAGCCCCTCCCCCAACCCCCCACAGATGGGGTTTGGCAGTGGTCCAGTCACTCCAAACTTTTCATGCACTGTGTCCCACTCTATAAATTATCAACTTTATTTTTATATAAAAATGTTGGGTTTTTTTGTTTTCCCAAGGCCCCCACAGTCTTTGTGTAAGTGTGACACTCCAAAAAGGTGTCCCACAGGACACAAGCTCCACAGATAATGGTGGAGGACCAAAGCTCTTTCCAGTTCACGCAGCATCTCCGCTGGGTCATTTTATTATACCAGTGCTGCCCATCACGGGGAACGTGAAAATGACCGGTCCCCCGTCCCCCGTCCCCCCTCCCTCCCCCATTCCCCCACACACACTTGAGCTCACCATCGTCAGCTTGCCATTCTTGCAGCCTTCCCTGGCGCTGCTGACGATCCTCTGGTGTCTGATAATGAGCAGAACTCCAGTTCATGCTGCCTTAGAGACAGCGTCCCGTTCAGTCCTCGCCGCCGTCACAAACTAACACATTACAGGCCTTCTCAGTCTCTCGGCACTGTTGAGAGGACAATCGGCTGCTATGGTTCTGGTCAGCCTTCCAGCCTCACCAGCACTCACACTATCCCAGCCCCTCCCCCCAAGAGCATCAGGACAGCCAGAAAGAAGCCAGGGCCGGGGAAACAGACACTTGGCCCAGAGCACTTAAAGCGATAACTTGCCGGGCTGAAGCCACTACTTGGCGGTTGGGAGCACTGGCTGTTCTGCCAGAGGACACGGGTTCAGTTCCCAGCACCCACATGGCAGCTCATAACTGCCTGTAACTCCAGTTTGAGGGAATCCAACACCTACACACACGCATACACGCACACACACACACAAATGCTGTGCTTGAACTAAAAAAAAGAGGTAACTTGCCATTTCTATTGCTAATAATCTAATTAACTGGGTGCTCAAAATATTCTGTAGAAGGTAATGCCTCTGTTTACACCCCCTGTCTTCAGAGAACTGAAGTCCAGCCAGTAGAAGTCCTGGTGGGGATCACAACTGTTTAGACCCTGTCTGTTCCCTGGGTTTCCCTGGCGAGCCCTGGCCTGTTTTGCAGGAGGCCCCAGGAAACCCATCTGTGCTGTCCATTCACCGTGCAGAAAAAAAGGCACATCCTGCTCATTTCCATAGCTTCTGCCGTCATTTCTGTGCAAGCTGATGCTGTGGGGACAGCAAGGAAGGACAGGTCCTTTCATGCATCTTGGGAAAGCTGAGCTGTGGTCGCTACCCGCTCTGGATGCTCTCTGCCGAAAGTTGATGCTAGCCAGAGGAGGGGCTGCCATTCCTGAGACTGTCTTCTACACACACACACACACACACACACACACACACACACACACACACACACGTGGGGAAGTCCAGGCAAAGAGAGAAAACACCTGCCGGGGTTGGCCCACCCTGTGAGGTGTTGTTCTGTTTCTCCCTTCTTCGTGTTTTCTCTAACGGAACCTGCTTGCTTTATTCTAGGGGAAGAATAAAGTGAGGCGTGTGAAGACCATTTATGACTGCCAGGCGGACAATGACGATGAGCTCACGTTCGTCGAAGGAGAGGTGATCATCGTGACGGGGGAAGAGGACCAGGAGTGGTGGGTACGTACCCAAGTCTGTCCGTCTGTCCGTTTGACCATTGATCCCTCTGCTCTCTCCGCTCCACGGGCGGGTGTGAGGGTCCTATTAGGTAACGTAATTCACCTCATGGCCATTCACGTACGTTCCCCCTTCTGTCGCTAAGTGGGTGCTGTAACAAGACAAAGTCACTTTGAAAATGGGCCAAGCCACCCTGGCTGCTTTTCTTGGTCAGGACCAGTGGGGCGGCGGGGGGGGGGGGGGGGGTTGGGGGGGGTCCTGGGGGCTTTGTTTC